TCATACTTTCTGAAGGAGTGACGTGACCATCTGGATTCCCTCCTTGCCTAGGTGTTTTAGCAGGTCCACTGGTAGTCCAGAGCACCCTGTTGCCCTCCCGCTCTTTATTTTCTTCATTGTTTCTTCTACTTCCTTCTCGTTTATATTAGGAAAGGGGGCTTTAACCGTTGGGTAATCCTGGAGTGGGACCCACTCATTTTCCACATTCAGCAGGTTACTAAAGTATTCCCTCCATCTTTCCTTGATCTAATTCTCATCCGTCAGTAAGACTCCGTCTTTGTCATTTATTACAGATACCTCTCCCACATCCTGCCTACTTTGCACTCTTTGCTTTGCCACTTTGTATATTATCCTCTCTCCTTCATTGGTTTCCATCTTCTCGTACCACTCCCTCCAAGCCTCCTCCTTGGCCTTGGCCACTGCTCTTTTAGCTTTTCTCTTGGCCTCTTTATATGTTTCTCTTAGGTTTTCATCTCTATCACTCTGCCATGCCTTAGAGGCTACCTTTTTCCTTCTAATAGCTTCTTGCACTTCTGTACTCCACCACCATGTCTCCCTTCCTTGGTACCGTCTCCCTTTAGTGGTACCACATACCTCTTCTGCTGTTTCCAGTAGGGCACTTTTTGTGGACTGCCAGTCTTCTTGCACTGTCTCTGTTTTTGGTACTTGCTTTTCTCTCACTTTTTCCTGAAAGTCTATGATCTTTCAGTTTCCAAATCTTGATCCGTTTCTGTGTTTTTGGCTTTCGTTTCTTCTCTTGTCTGATCTAGAGCACCACACATAGGAGTCTATGCTGTGCCACAACTGCCTCTCCTGGAATGATCTTACAATTCCTGACACTCTTCAGGTCCGCTCTTCTTATCATCACGTAGTCAATCTGTGTGGCATGTTGCCCACTCTTGTATGTGATGAGATGTTCATCTCTCTTTTGGTAGAAGGTATTGACAACTGCCATGTTGAGGCTTTCGGCACATTCTAGGATTCTCTCTCCCTCTGTGTTCCTCTGGACATACCCTTTACCACCATGAACTCTTTGGTACCCATCTGATCTTTTGCTTACATGTCCGTTGAGGTCTCCTCCATGAGTTCTCCATGAACATTTTCCTTTCTTCATCTGACTCTCATGTCTGTGGTGCATGTGTTAAAACAATGTTTAAGAACTCGCCGGCTATCACCAGTTTCATCTTCATCAGTCTGTCTGATATACGTCCTACCTCGATGACTCCTTTCTTGTACTTTGGGCTCAAAATGATTCCAACCCCATTTCTTCTGTTCCCTTCTCCGCTGTAATATATCTTGTATCCTTCAAGCAATTCTCTTGCACTCTTTCCACTCCATTTGGTTTCCTGCACACTGAGGATGCCGATGTTTCTTTCCTTGCAGACTTCTGCTATCTCTTTTCCTCTGCCAGTCATGGATCCTACGTTCCAGATGGCGAACTTGAATACATATACCTATATAGATAGATAGATAGATAGATAGATAGATAGATAGATAGATAGATAGATAAATAGATAGATAGATAGATAGATAGATAGATAGATAGATAGATAGATATAGATAGATAGACAGATAAATAGATAGATGGATAGATAGATGGATAGATATACAAATATACATGTGTGTATATATATGTATATATATCTATATTTATATTTATATGTATATATATGTATATATGTATATCTGTCTATCTATATATACATACATATATACGTATAGATAGATAGCGAGATAGATAGATATAGACAAATGGATAGATAGATAGATATACATATATATATATAAATATATATTTCTATATATGTATATACGTATGTATGTGTATGTATATGTATATATATATATATATATATATATATATATATATATATATATATATATATATATATATATATAAAATTATAACCACATTTTGAAAGATGATACTGCTAGGGATAATGGAGGTAAAGATAAGAATAATGATAACGCTTTCAGAATTATGCTAATACTAAGGTTATAATGAAAATAATGGTAAAGCCAATAGTATAATGGAAATACTGAGGATAACTGAGAATAAATTGCGTATTGAAATTGAGTTGTATTCGTTCATAGAAAATTAATTGGGGAAAATAAACTTATGGTTATATATCAAATATAAGAATCATTATTTATTTATTATCTTATGCTATCATCGGTTATATAATAAACATTTTCATCGCACTCAATCTTCGTTTCTGACTCTCTATTTTCGCTTTAACCGTATAACATTTTAAATTTATCATGACGAAGACCACAAAATTTTATTTGGCCAATTTGGCTTGCCAGAGGTAGATACAAAACTATTGACATCATTAATGTGACCTCGACAGTGGCTTTGGATTTCGTAAAAATCCGGTATCATTTGTTTTCGAAAAAGGGATACAATAATATTCTGACAATAAAACTTGGACAGCTAACAATTATGCCGCATTTTGTAACGTAGTGGGATTTTTTCCCCTGTATGCTTTAAGTGGTTCTT